TGACATGTATAGCAGCTGTAAGTCGCTTTGGATAAAAGCATCAGCTAAATGAATAAATGAAAAAATGTAAATGTAAATATGGTAATTTGCTCCAGGCAGAGAATGCTGACCACACCCACAAAGGAACATGCAGCCCCATCCCTTCACATGGTAAACACATAAGACAATGCCAACCAGAAGACAGAAGACAGGCTTTGCTTCAAAGAGACAGGAGCACCTACAGCTTGTTTCAGACAGATGCTGAAATGAGGGCCTGCATGAAGGGCCAGTATAAGATAGAAAATTCTTTTTTTGAACTTTGAATCATGCAAAGCTGCCATACAGGAGTCACAGAACTACAATATAGGACTGGAAATGCATTATAACAGGTCTCCTTTAAATAGCAATGCCCATGGTACAAGCTCACCTGCTTTTAAAGGGAATGGGAGATGACACTGATTGGTTTATTGCATGTGACGCCCCAAAACACACCCATGATTAGAGACTACGTACAAATCTTTTGAACCATGTTCTCTAGCAAACCCTGTAAACTAGCAAAAGTGGATTCAGAAAAACTACACAGGGACCTGCACCATGCACTTCACGTCGCACGCTTAAGGATTTTAATGGTCACAGGTAAGTGAACCTAAACTATAATGTGGTATGCTGAACTTGAGCACTCACTCTTTCAACACACACTGGCAAAGAAAAGCTAACAAGCTACAAGTGTCATCTCCAAAAGTAATGAGCGCCAAAAATGTCTGAAACCTTTATACATTACATTACATTAACTTGATTCGTTGAGAATAAAGATTTTTGTTGAAGCTGCAACATTAACACTTGAGCTGACCTGTCTTCACCTCAGCTGGTGCAAAAAGCTTTGTTTCTTTGCATCGATTACATTTGGCATTGCTTTCAGTCTGAACAAAGAAGGATTCCAAATCATCTTCAGTAATAGAAAACAAAAATGTAGATAGCAGGACTACTACTTTAGATGGAATATTTGCACTCCTAACATCTTTTGGGGCAACACCTTCAATCACAGGAACAATGAGAGAAAGCAGATTAATAAGTTTTATTACCTGAGTTGTGAATTCCCAATATATTTATCCTTAAGAAATATTCACAGACAAAGACTTTTATTTATAACTAAATGTTTTTAACAAGTGAATAAAAGTAAATTAGGTTTTAATAAGGGTTATATGACGTGTTGACAAAAAAAACTCCGGAGATGACGTGGGCAGACCATGGAATAATAATGCAGACTTGTATCTGCTTTCCTTGTATCTGCTTCCCCTTGGACATATTATCCACAAACATGGCATTTCTTTTCATATTTATGCTGATGACACACAAATGTACTTGCCCGTCAGATCCACAGACCCTGGAATGCTGAGTTCACTTAACAACTGCCTTTGTGAAGTAAAAAAATGGATGTCAAATAATTTCCTCCAGCTGAACTCAGACTAAACAGAAATCCTGGTCATCGGGTCCCAGCAGATGGCAAATACTGCCATCTGCTGGTTCCCTAGTAAATCACATTAAGCCTGTGGCAAAGAACCTTGGTGTTTGGTTTGATAGTAATTTAAATTTCGAGCAGCACACCACAAAGCTTGTTCAATCATGTTTTTATCAACTTAGAAATATAGAAAAATTCGATCTATGTTAACTTTTAAGGACACCGAGACCATTTTACACGCCTTCATCTCATCACGCCTGGATTATTGCAACAGCCTTTTCACCCGTTTAACCCAAAAATCTATTGATGACTCCAGACTGTCCAGAACTCAGCTGCCAGGCTTTTAACCAGAACAAAGAAATATGACCACATTACTCCTATTTTAGCTTCATTACACTGGCTCCCAGTATTTTTAGAATTGACTTTAAAATTCTATTGATCACTTTTAAAGCTCTTCATGGCCTCTCGCCTTGTTATATTTCTGACCTTTTAGTCCCATACGCACCAGCACGTACCTTGAGATCCTCGGGCAGAGGTCTGTTGTCTGTTCCAGAGTCTCGACTGAAAACTAAAGGGGACAGAGCGTTTGCTGTCAGGGCCCCGAGGCTCTGGAACAGCCTGCCCGAGGAAATCAGGTCGGCTGAGTCAGTGAACTCTTTTAAGTCCCTTCTTAAAACATACTTTTATAGGAGAGCCTTTCCCGATCTTATTTGACTTTATTTTATCCCTTTTATTTTATTCTATTTTACTTATTTTATTTTAGTCTTTTCAATGTTTTCTTGCTTTTATCTTGTATTGTTTTTGCATTATTGTCTTTGGGTATTATTGTACACTTGTGCTCTACAAATAAAGATTATTATTATTATTATTATTATTATTATTGTAGAAGAGTAATGTAGTGGTAAAGAAACATAGGTGAAAGAGGCCGGACCACCATCAGATAGGGTGCGTATTGGAGGAGGAGGAAAGGTTTTCACACTCAAACTGTTTTACGCCTCGTAACTAATCATCTTTCTTTGTGGTTTCTTCTACGTTATGGAACTATATAATTTAACATGTCTCGCACAGTCACATCATAAAAACAGGGTTGACGTCGAGCATCCATCACAGACATGTTATAAAACCTAACTTAGATTTCAAACACAGTTAATAATAAGCTTCCTAACCACTTAACTATCAGAAGCATAAATTCAACACTACTAATAAATGGTAGCAGATTCAACACTTAGTTTGATCACACATATACTAACTCATCTTACACAAAACAACAGAAACGCAGTGATGACAAGAATCCCATTAACTGTTAAACTTCTAACTTCTGATTACCTAAAACTTTATGCGAAAATCATCAGAATTGCGCCAACCATCAAAAAGCAATCAAGTGAGATTACTGAACCAGTGACTGTACATTTATTTACACTTGGGTTAATAAACTCATCTCAAGGATTTATGTCCTTCTGCTGAGTTTCATATCCGACTTCCCCAGAGAGAGAGTGGTCATCTGGGACGTCCCAGAGAGATCAGAGAGGAAGGGCGGACGGCTCCTAAAGTCCCTACATTTTATTTACCAAGTGATATTATGAGCACTTGGCAGATTAAT